CGGCCAGACGCGCGTCCCGAGCGGCTCCGAGAGCGCCCAGGGGCTGCCACCCCTCGCGGAGCCACCCTGACCTTCCCTCTCCAGCAAGCTCGGAGCAAACAGCCGGGAACTGCGGTGCTTTCCCAACGCCGAGCGCCCCGGCACGGTTCCTTATCTCGCAGTTCGGAGAGCTGAGCGCATTCTTCCTGTGTCCTCCACCCCTGCTTTCCCGGGATCACCTGCAAGCTGGTGCTAGAGAACATTCCCCTTTTCCAACTCGGTCCCTTGCCCATCCCCAGGGACCACAACCCGGCCTTGGAGAAGGAAAGCGACGGTGGTTTCACCTCCTTCCTCGCGGCAGCCCCATGCTCAGAACCGCTGCCCTCCTCTGCCCCCGCGCTGGCACTAAGTGCAGGGTGACCTTCTCCTAATTCCTCAAAGCCCTTTAAGACCTGGATCATCTTCTCCGGCAAGCGCAGGCGCTGCCCCACTTCCCGGCTCAGCATGGATGCCGTGAGCTCCAGGACGGCACCCGCTCCAAATCCCCCCGGGAAAGGCCGCTGTGGCACCTACCCAGCCCATGGTCTGGATGGGTCTCACCCAGCACCTAATTATTGCATGTAGCTCCATATGTCCTGATGAATGACCCCCAATGTTGCCTGAGACCAACGTCCCTTCCTCGAGTGACGTGGGTCCCGCCAGAGACCAGGGCCTGCAGGTCTAACCGATTTGGTGCAAAATCCGATTTGAAGGAAAAGGGGCCAAATGGCTTTTTGCTCAAGGTTTCGGATCCTGGAGCACCTCTGGGGGCTCGTTTGGTTCGCCCTATGCAGCACTGGCTGCAAGGCTGCTGTTGGGCAAGGTCCGGCCATCCGGGCTCCGTGTGCTCCAGCAGCTCCACTGGTGCTTGCAAGATCTCCCCAAGGAAGGAGGAAAAGCCCCGAGTTTCTGATCCAGTCCTGGATAACCCTCACTCAGTCCCGGTGCAACCACTCAGGTGGCAAAAGAAGTTAATTCCCTGGCTTATGCACCTGCCAAACCGGCCCCATTCGTGCAGCTCCTCACGCGCACAGGGAGGAAAAAAAGTCCCTAACGTTACTGAATCAGCCCTGGGGACGATGCACACTGGGGGGGACAGGACCCGCACGTGGCGGGTGACAACACGGTCACAGTTTCCAGCACCAGCTCCCAGCCCGCAGGGGAGCAGCTTTGCCATGAGCTGTTCAGTTGCCACTGGGCTTCCCAAAGCCGCGTTTTGGGAAGCACTTGAGCTCGGAGCAAACTTCGCAAGCTCCGCTTTCCTTTCCCGGGATACTTTTGGGGCTGGATGTGGCCGTCTCAGAAGTGTTTGGGCAGTGAGTGCAATGCAGCCAGAGGCTGGTTACTGGGATGGGGCTGGGGATTTTTTCTCCTTTTTGGCAAAGAAGAGGTCCAGGACCGTTGTGCATGAGAAACTCGGGCATAAGGCCAAGCTGGGGAGCTTGGAGCGGGCTCGGAGCCAGCGATGGGCAGCGTTAGAGCCGCGCAGGTGCAGGTTGGTGCCTCTCCTTAGAGCAACCTCTCCCCGAACGGACTTTTTGGCTGAAATCCCACATTTTTTCCTGCTCAAAGCCGGTGCCTCAACCCGTGCATCCCCCTCCGGAACGCGGCGCCGGATCGGAGCAGCCGAGCCCGGCCGCGCGGCCAAGCCCACCCCGGCTCCGGCTGCTCCCGAAATCCAACCCCGCGTGACCCCGGCGCGCGGCCTGCGCTGACACACGCCCCGCGCGCCGCGCCGAGGAGCCGGCGTGAGTCAGGCGCTTTCCTGCTCGGCCGGTTCCCGGCAATGCGGCCGCGGGGGCCCGGCCCCCCTTACCCAGCGGGGGCGGGCGGCCCCGCGGGGGGCCC